TTTGGAGTTTCAAAAAGCATGAGTTAAAAGCATGGAGGAACATATGTCAGGGGAAAGAGCTATATATTTTTGCTCAGAGAGGTATGTGTGCCATGTAACATGTTCACTCAGCATAAATGTTTCCACTGATGCAAGTGTACCACAGATGTACACAACAAGGAAAGTAGCGCACGTATGACATTTACGTTCTAAGTTGAGAAGCTCAAGAGCAACATGTTTGTTACCTTACAAGGAAGCTGTAAGACTGTGTGATGTATAAAACTCAATGTCACATTGTACCACCTCAGAGAAACATGTAGGCATGACCGGGTGAGAGGGTAGAGATACATGGAGAAACGCATAGACCAGGCATGAACACAACATCATGAAGTTTCTCTCCTGACATATATAAATTTATAATAAAACTTTCTTGGCAAGATAACTGGTGTCCGGTCCCGTAAATTGAATAATAACGGGGAAACACAAGAGGCTTTAATTCCAAGTCTACATTGGCGTCACGAGGAACAGGATAGCATTCAGACATTTGTCTCAATCATTCAAGGTAAGACTTTTTCCTATTCTACTAAAAAATAATTTGAAGTCTGCCTGATGATTGGACATTGACTGAAACTGCTTAAAAGAACTGTGTTGTTTAAAGTACCAGTTGTTTTCCAATGAATATATGTAGAAAAGAAAAATAATTTAAATAATGTTTGAATTTGATGTGGCTTATTTGAGTTGCTCTGTTCAGTAAACCTCTGAAATATTGAATGATGCTGGGGAAGTCTTTTTCATTTTTTGAAAAGACTTTAGGAAAAGTGGATCTTTTTTAGAAAAAAGACCATTTAGTCAAATATTTGGAATAGCAGTAAAGCAATTTAGCAATTTGCTTGGCATGACTGGAAGGTGGTTGGAATATGGCGAGACTGTAAAAACTGATGGCAGATTAATCTCTAAAATATTTCCAACACACCGAAGAATCGTTTAGAAAACGAGGAATAGTGTGTCAAAGCGGTGATTTATAGCGGTTTAAAAGTGGCGGGTCTGTGCTATAGGACGCACAGGATTCCGTATTTAGAAATACAGGCGCCCTAAAATTTTAAACACGCTGATTGAGCCCTTAGAAGATGGGGTATCAATGGAAATAGGAGCTAGAATTGTGTGTTTTTTCGATTTTGACAATAAGCTGTTCAGTATTGAGAGGAAGAGGTTGATCTGAGAGCAACTTCAAATAGACTAAATAAAATTAAAAATAAAAAAATAGAGCAACAAATACACAAAGAAAACAAATTATTAGAGTTAACTTTGTTTTGTTTTTTTTTGTTTTTTTTTTTTCCTTTCCCCTTCTTTGTCTTTGAGTATAAGAGAAGGCGAAAGGGAGAGAAGGAGAGAAGCAGAGAGAGAGGGAGAAGCAGAGGGACCCCCCCCCCCCCCCCTTGGAATTCACGCACAGTAGATATACATCCAACACACACACACACACACACTCACTCCCAAAATATCACTGCTGTTTGAGTGCACAGTCACAGAGTGACAAATAATTTGCAATGGCAGAAAGTGGTCTTAACAGCCGAACAATAGCTGATTGGTATTTAAAAAGAAAACAGAAAAAGCAAGCTAAGCTTTTGAAAAAAGGACTGGATGTTAATGCATCTTTGGATGTGCAGCTAAGCTGGTTTGATTCGCAAAAGACTCCATCAAGTCAAAAGCATTTCCAATACTGGCAGCTCATTGGATTGTGAAACAAGGTGGAATCTTCTGTGGCATTGATGGATGTCCAGCCCACTTTTTGAAGCAATGAAGCCTCAATTTGAAGCATTTCACAAACTGAACAAAATTATGTCTATTAACTGTTCAGATAAAGAAAACACAACCAATGATAATTCATTTGATCCAGATTGGACAAATATAATAACTGAAGCTGAAAAGAGATATTCACAAGCACCAGTGAAATCTGCAACCACTGTAACGCCTCCACCTTACAAACCAATTTATCCACCTTTGCCTGAACAATGTACAAGTTCATCTAAACCTCTGACGCAGCCTCAAGCTTTGAGATTAAATGGTCCAGTTGACAAAATGTATATTGCATCTGCACAAGCAGCTCCAATAATAACAAGATCTAAAACAGTTCATCCCAACAGAGACATGCTGCGCTGTACACCAGCTTGTAATTATGGATCCGACTGGGGTGATGAGACAAGAGATGACGACATGATCACAATTGACAAGATCGGTCCTGAACTTTCTTCACCAGTAATTAAAAAGGAAGGATCTGAATTAATGACAGAAGAGAGACCATTCACTCCAGGTGAACGACAAGCCATTCTCACAGCCTTGCCTCCTCTGAAGAGACAAGATCCAAACACAGAGTTTTGGCGAGAATTAGACTCTCTTGTCGAAGCACATCAAATGACACTACGAGACATTCACACCATTGTGAAAGCTAAAATCCCAAGAGACAGATGGGAACGCTTGCCAGCTTCAATAACAACTGCCCAATGGATAGATTTGTGGGTTGATGACCAGGGACGACCCCTGGGTCTTTGGCAAGCCTTAGATGTATTCCGAAAGAAATCCAGGAAATCTTGGCAGTGGTAAAATTCCCTTCACATTAGTGACATTGATTAAGCAAAAGGATGATGAATCTCCAGATGAGTATGCTCTACGTAAGTGGAATGCTTATGAGAGATGGGCTCTCTGTGCTAAGAAACAACCTGACAGAGATGATGTACAGTTCATTGACACACTTGTGGATGGATTGTTCATTATCACTTGGAGTCAACCCAGGTGAGACATTTGACCAAATCATGCAATGGGCTGGCCGTTTGGAGATGGCTATGAGGTCAAACAAAGAAGAAGGAAACAAGCCATACCGAAGAGGAGTGGCGACAGCTCAATACAACAAAGACACAAAGAATAAGATGGTTTTCTGCAGCAATTGTGGAAAACATGGACACGTTAGACGAGATTGCTGGGCTAAAGGAGGTGGAGCAGAAGGTCAAGGTCCATCATTTAAACAGGTCAGTACCAAAGACTATAATGAAAATTCTCAAGAGAAGACGTTGACTGAAGCACAAGTCCGTCAGCTCATTGAGGGAATTATGCGTCCGCAATAGGAATTAGCGGCCCCCTGTATTAGTAAGAAAAAAGACAATCGCCTTTTCGTTAATGCATTAATAGGGGGCCACCCATGTGATGTTTTGGTTGACACAGGCGCCTCAATTTCAATAACAGATTTGAACCTACCTACAACAGATGAAACTATGGAAGTTGAAGGTGTTGGAGGTGGTATCACAAAATTTCGCAAAAGTATTCAAGTTCCACTGCAAATACATGAAGATGAAGTCTTATGGACATCTTTTTGGGTGGGGCCGAATTCACAAGGAAGCCTAATTGGCATGGACATTCTTCCATTGTTAAACATGATCATATTCACTGACAGTCGTCATATCGCCACAACTGCTGGATAATACCACACGAAGATCGCACATGTAATCTAAGGTCTGTTGGTACAGCAAAACCAATTATCAGGAACTGGACAAAAGATGGTGTGTGGGGTCTTCTATGCAGTTTATATCCAGATGTTTGGGCTAAACACAAACTGGATTGTGGTAAAGCCAACATTGACCCCATTGTTATTGAGGGACCGACACATGCCCCTCATAAACAATACCCTATCAGACCTGAAGCAAGACAAGCCGTAGAGGAGATAGTGGCTGACTTGGAAGCTGAAGGTATCATCAGACAAACGTCATCTACCACTAATAGTCCTGTCTGGCCTGTCAAGAAATCAGATAACTCATGGCGATTAACCATTGATTACACAAGACTTAACAGTGTAACACCAAAACCGCATCCTATTGTAGCCAATCCTGCCACTATTCTGAATGATATTCCAGGAAATGCTAAAATTTTTACGGTACTGGATGTACTGTCTGCTTTCTGGTCTATACCTATAGACAAAAGATCTCAAGAGAAATTAGCCTTTACAGTAGGCGCAAAACAATATGTTTGGAACAGACTCCCACAAGGTCTTAATATTTCTCCTGTTGTATTTCATAGAGCTTTGAACCAGTTCTTAACGGAGCAAAAAGCTGAAATTGAGAAATCAGGAAGTGTCTGCCTCCAATATGTTGATGACTTGTTGATTGCAAGCCCAGATGAAAGAAGCCATATATTTGCTCTGAATGTTGTCCTACAAGCCCTTAGGAAAGGGGGATTTAAAGTTAACCCCGACAAAGCACAGCTGGCCAAATCCAAAGTTATCTATTTGGGCCAAGAAATATCTATGGAGGGAAGGAGAATGACAACAGAGCGTGTAGAAGCATTACGACAACTTCCAAAACCTCTAACAGTTACAGGAATGCGGAAGGTGATGGGACTTTTCAACTATTGTCGTCAGTATATACCCGATTTTGCTAGCATCACCAGCCCTCTCATTGACCTGTACAAGGGAGGAAAGCCGGGAGTGGAACAGATTAACTGGACACCAGAAGCTGAGGAAGCGTTTACTTCTATGAAAGAAAAACTGACTTCAGCTCCAGCTTTGGGACTTCCCGATGGACGATTGCCGTTTCATTTGTGGACCAGTGTAGGAGATGAGACGTATTCAGCAGTACTGTGTCAAAAACCAGGTGATCGATACAGACCAGTTGGATACTTTTCCACAAAGATTCCTGTCACTATGATTGGGCAACCACGATGTATACAAGCTCTCGATGGTGCCACATGGGCAGTGGATGCTGTTGAGAATCTGATAGGAGCACAAACTATCATATTGCACACTCCACACAGTATAGTGACATTGTTGAACAACACAAACATCAAAACCATAACCGATGCAAGAAGAGCAAAATGGGAAGCTACTTTGTTGAACAAGGATTTGAGAGTGGAAATCATCAGAGACACGTCTCTTAACCCTGCAACAATGATGCTGGAACCACATGAGGGAATACCACATGAGTGTGTAAAACAAGTAGAAGAAGATAGCCTTGGTCCTGTTAATCCAATCCCTCTTGAAAATCCAGACAAGGAGTTATGGGTTGATGGATCCAGTTACTATGTTGATGGAAAACGACACACTGGATGGGCTGTAGTGCAAGCTGATGGAACTGTTGTGAAGAAAGGAGCTCTTCCTGGCAAACTTTCAGCACAAGTAGCCGAGCTTATAGCACTTACAGAAGCTCTTGAATTATCTGAAGGAGAACGAGTCAACATCTATACAGATAGTCGATATGCTTTTGGTGTGGTCCATGACTAACTTGCCCTGTGGAAGAGACGTGGACTCATCACCAGCAATGGGAGCGAAATACAACATGCTTCCATAATTCGTCGCTTGATTACAGCATGTCACTTACCTAGAGAAGCAGCCGTGATCAAAGTGAAATCTCATCAATCTGACAAGTCCAAAGAAACTCAAGGAAACACGGCAGCAGATGCAGCAGCTAGAGAAGCAGCTCTACTCCATCCTACTCCTGTTACCCTGGTAAAGGAAAATACCAAGGATAATCCTGAGCTCCATCTTCTGTCATATCAATTGGAGACAGATGAAGAGAAAGAACAATGGATAAAAGCGGGAGCGAAAGAGGATGATCAAGGAATCTGGAGAATTCCAACAGGACAAGTAGTGATGCCTATCGGAACAAGAAGAGAACTAATGCAGCTGTATCATGGAAAAGTGCATGCTGGAGCAAAAGCAATGAAAGCTCAAATCAGTGAAACTTGGTGGTGGCCAAGAATGATGAGAGACATTGATGATTATTGTAGAAGATGTTTGATATGCCTCAAAGCAAATGTGGGAAAATCTGTAAAGGTGCGAATGTCACATGCACCTAGACCAACAGGTCCGTGGACACATCTCCAAATTGATTTCACAGGACCTTTGTCACCTAGTGGAGGGTATCAGTATATACTTGTAATCATGGACAGATTTACAAGGTGGGTGGAAGCATTCCCAACGAAAACTTGCACTGCTGAAGCGGCTGCACGAGTGATGGTTGAAGAAGTTTTTCCTCGCTGGGGTCTTCCATATGAGCTCGATTCTGACAATGGAACTCACTTCACTGGAAAACTGATGAAGGAAGCAATGAAATTGATGGGGATTAAACAGAAGTTTCACATCCCATATAGACCTGAGTCTTCAGGCCTAGTGGAACGGATGAACAGATCGTTGAAAACCGCTCTTACCAAGGCCATTCTGCAAACTGGCCAAGGATGGCATAAGTTGTTACCCGCAATTTTGTGGAATCTGAGAGCAACCCCGAACAGAGTAACGGGACTGACTCCTTTTGAACTGATGACTGGAAGAGCAATGGTTCTGCCTCCTGATGCTCCGCCGCCTGCGGGAACAGGAGGAGACTCTACTTTGTTCCAAGAGAAGTTACGACGTTATCTCACAATGCTGGACAAAGCAATCAAAGACAATAATAAGAAAGTGCGAGAAGCTCAACAGCAATGGGATGAAAAACATACCACTACTGACATTCCACACATTCCCGAGTTAGGCAGTTTTGTTATGGTCAAACGTATTCCCAGGAAAGGTTTAGAACCTAGGTGGGAGGGGCCATATGAGGTACTCTTAACAACAGATACAAGTGTTTGTCTCAAAGGGAAAGGTGTAGGAACAGATAGATGGTATCATTGGTCACAAGTTAAACCATGCTTAGTGAATGAACAAGATGATAATGATGGCTTATGGCCTGAGATTGAGCAATGTTCATCCATTATTTTTAAAGATTGGGAACAAAGAAGTGATGCTAATTATTCCTTTGCTTCCATTTCAGGAATCAATTCCATTGACATTGATTAGAGATGGTTGCAAGTTATTCTCGATACCCAACGATGATGGTATGCTTATTTTTAACTTTACTTGGCATTTGTCAAGAAAGCCACGCTTTATGGACTCCTCGAGTTCAAGAGATCACTCGGAGTGCAACTCTGAAATCTGGTCAACATTTTACCCTACCCTTTATTTCCAGATGGGGATTATGGGATTGGGTGCCACGTAATGACACAGACCTTGCTAAATATCGTAAGGGCATCTATGGAGGATGTAACTTTTACCACCAATGTTACAAAAGCAGAGTAATTTGGCCGGTAAAAGACGGGGGGTATACTGGTAGTGCTCAAAGACGAGAAATTTGTGCAAGAGAACGATGTGAAGTTATAGGGTTAAACCTCATAACATCTACTAATGTGGAAATTAATTTAGTTCTGAATCGTACCCACATGCTTACAATATGGGATTCATTGGCCCAAGGGTGTATTTATCCCATAGGGTTGCCATGCGAAGGGTTTCTGAGGGATCCTTCCTCAAAAACAACAAGATTTAAGGGAAATTATGTACGAGTATGGCATTCAGAAGATGAGAGTGAATATTGTGAGACTGAACTAGAAACTGGCGAAATCGGAAGGTGTTTTTATCTTTCTGCGGAGAAGACAAACAAAGCAAAAACATGCCCAAATACAACCATTGCACCAGCTCATGGTATTTTGTTAGCAAAAGAAACCAAAACCTTGATAAATGAAGCCCATATGGTGCAACAACGAATTAATTATAACTTGAATTCTCTTCTTACCGTTTTTGATCAGTCTTATTGTGGTAATTTTACACAAATAAGAAGTTGGTTGGGAAAAGAAGTTAAATATTACACCTCTAAAAATCCTCTGAGTAGAAAAAATCGTAAAACTCGAAGTATATGGGGAGATATTGCGGGGGTATTTGGTTCTGTCAATTCAATCAGTAATACTGCTCAAATGAATCAGTTAAGTAAATACACTCAGTGGGTGGGAACAATGAGTGGGAAAGGACTCACTGAGGCTCTTCAGGGTTCTCTGCATATTATTGCAGCGGGTCAGCATCTTAATGATGCTGCAAAGGAATTGGCAGATGCATTAATAAAATCGTCTGATTTTGAGACGCATCGTGCGGCGTGTTTATTTTTAGCTCAGAATTTAAAGGATCAAATGGTAGAAGATATTCAAGTTATTCGAATGGGACAAGTTCCTGAGCGAATAGCAGAATCATTGTTAGTGGTTTTCGGGAATCAACTTAATTTGACTTCTGCTAAACATATTCCATTAGTTAAAATCGCTATTAATGAAAATTTGTTGTCAGGTTCTGGAATGTTACCTTTGATTATGATATGGCCTCAATATGGGAAGCGTAATATTATGACAGTCAGGAAATTCCAATCAATGGGTGTTAGGCAAGGTAATTCAGTAATTAGATTAGGAAGAAATGGATATTGGGCTGAAGGTGATACACCAATGATTTCTACCACAGACTGTTGTGTCGAGGAACATGAGTGGGTAATTTGCTCATGCTCTACAATGTTTAGTCTATCTCTTAATGGTTCTGCTGTTTGGGATGTAGTTCCTTTGAGTCAGGCCACAGGTGCATGGCAACTTTCAGAAGCGCAGTGGTGTATATTACATGATGGAACAAGTGAAAATATGATATACGGGGGAAAGTTGTGTCCAATCCCTCCTGATCCATTTTGTCTTGAAATTCTCTATCCTCTTCATTTGGGTGGAATTCATGTTCCACATGTGCAATTGTTACAGGTAGAACCACAATGGTGGAATAATGACTTAGTAGAAGAACGGAATTATGAACTCTTTGAGATGGTTAAAATAGTTAGAAAGAGTGTAAAAGCAGCTCAAGACGAGGGAATTCAAGCAATGGGTCATGTTATAGTAGCAAATGGAATAGCTAAATTGATGTCTGAAAAGAAACTAACACGAATCCTAGGGAATTTATCGTGGTCAGATTGGATAGTTTTGATCATGGTAGGAGTTCTTGCAGTCATGTTCATGATTCAAATTATGATATGTGTTACTAGAAAAAGAAATACCAAATCTGTCAAACTGATTATTTCTAACCAAATGGATAAAACCAAGGATGGAGTATACAGCGTGAAATAGGGAAATGTATGCATTATTCCTTACAAAGCATTACCTCACAAACAATGAACACCCGCTTACTGATTCTCAACCCCAAGGGATAGGACCCTTTTACATCAACGTTTATTTTAATTTCTTATTTTGGCTCGGAACTGGGGGATTTAATTAGTTACGAGTTAATTAATTAATGAGTCCAGGCACGAGCAGAAGACTTATTAGTTTTTTCTTTTCTTAGATGATTGGGGTTCATTTTAAATACATACACATAGCTATTAAAACACACATAGTATACGGGGACATAACACGGGTTGGGGTTTTGTTCTTTTTGTTCTTTGTTTTGTTTTTCCTTTTCTATTCTTCTGTTCGTTCTGTCTATTTTCTTGGTCTGCTATTTCTTCTCCTCACTATCACTTCTATAGGTTGGCCACCTGGGAATGATGGTGTGGAACTTACGGCCGTAGTTCCAGTGGAGGGAGATGAAGACTAAAATTTCATCTTTTAATATTATTTCATTATTAAATATTATGTATCTGTATTATTATTCTTTATTAGTTTTCATGATCACTGTATTATCCTTTTGGAGTTTCAAAAAGCATGAGTTAAAAGCATGAGGAACATATGTCAGGGGAAAGCTATATATTGCTCAGAGAGGTATGTGTGCCATGTAACATGTTCACTCAGCATAAATGTTTCCACTGATGCAAGTGTACCACAGATGTACACAACAAGGAAAGTAGCGCACGTATGACATTTACGTTCTAAGTTGAGAAGCTCAGAGCAACATGTTTGTTACCTTACAAGGAAGCTGTAAGACTGTGTGATGTATAAAACTCAATGTCACATTGTACCACCTCAGAGAAACATGTAGGCATGACCGGGTGAGAGGGTAGAGATACATGGAGAAACGCATAGACCAGGCATGAACACAACATCATGAAGTTTCTCTCCTGACATATATAATTTATAATAAAACTTTCTTGGCAAGATAACTGGTGTCCGGTCCCGTAAATTGAATAATAACGGGGAAACACAAGAGGCTTTAATTCCAAGTCTACACCTTAAAATTTTTAGTTCATTGAAATGGAAAAATGTGAGTTAACGCAATGAAGGACATTACTCAAAATATTATGTTATCTGAACTACATAAATTATCTAAGTTGATTTGACAAAAGAGAAAATGTTGTGATTACAAATCATGAAAATATTTTTTTACAGTAGTGAAACGGGAGTGTTTATGCAAATGACTATCATTTAAATTGTCACTCATTTAAAACACTCCAAATGAATTAAAAATTAGAATAAAGTTAAAAACAAATTCACAAAGATTTTTGTGAGAAATTCTCCAATGCATATAAATACAAATATTCCACCCAATCAATTTTTTTTGTAAATAAGACCCAATGACTTGTATGTACTCGGTTTAGATTACTCTGCGCCTAAATACCTAAAAATCCATAACTGAATGTAAAATGACAGCACGGATGAAGCTCTTTCATTAGAATGTACTTTTTACTGTTGTAATTATGGAATCCCTGATCCTGCTTCGTGTCCATAACTCCAATTCACCATGACAGGCGGATATACATGGCATTCCATCAGTGTTGACAGCCATCAGCTCATCCTTATATCATTTCAGGCTTCAGTACCAATATAACCATTTGCCAGTGATATTTTTTTCTTCACTCTTCAGCTGGAAAATCCAGGATAACCCCACTAGGGAATACAATTCTCTATGACAACTGGAACAAACTGTTGCTAGGAGACAACAACCGACCGCAATCACACTAAACTTCAGTAAATGTCAGTCTTTAATGAATGTCATCACCCTCATTATGATTAACCTTATTCAAATGACTGTACTGCTCATTATGCTAAGGGTGGATGTTGTTTGTAATCAGCCAATGAAGTTATTCAACAAGTACCTGATTTTATGCATTCATGACGCACTTTAAGACCTCCTCGAGGAAGGGTTGAATAGACATTTTGCGGCTATGACATGATGCTTGGAGAGACTCATCTAATA